TCAGACATCAGTTTAGCAAGGGTAAAGGGAGTGTGAGGTCTTCTATCTAAAATGTAAGAAACCAACTGTCATCTCTCTGGAACTTAGAGAAATCATGTAGCACTCTGTTAAAGTCAGACAAAATATGAACTTGTTCTAAAATTCAGATTCCCTTAACCTAAATAATTGGGAATGAAGTATTGGTGAAGAATGGGGAAACAAACATAATCACACTTAGCAATTTCTTTCCACCTGCACTCGTTATTAATATTATTAGGACTCTGTACCTCTACTTCAGTTCTGTGTAAAATGTCTGCTGCAGAGATCTATAATACTAACAGAGCTTTTAAATACTCACTTTGCATGTAGGTAATGGGGTTTGCTTTGTGTTTGAAAATTAGCTTTTATAAAATGTAAAGAAACCATTTTCAAAATGTACATAATATTTAATATAACATTGTCCATCAATCAAAACAAAGAGTTAAGCCACTGAAATATCAGGCCAGTTTGTGGATACCATGTTAAATGGTACTGATTTAATTCCAGTCCTTCAGAAATTCACTTCAAGCCTCTTTTAGATGTTTCAGTGTTGGTTTAATATAATTCCTACTTAGACAGTTTTCATGGAACGTGATTGCCTTTTACAGAACGATCTTGTTCTTTGGTTACACAGACAGTTGTGAAGAATCAAATACCCTAGTGGTTACAATTCAGACTGACAGTAATCACGAAGTGTTCATGAAATGTGACACTCACTCAATTTTAATAACTTTTGACATATGGTTTGTAGAAATAGGTCTTGATGCTATGATTACTAGGCTTTCATGTGAAGTTTGGATTCTCGTCTATCACATGATTATATTTTTAAACTTAAACTTTCCACTAGAAGTCTGTGAATACACTGTATCACAATTTCTGTAGCCCTAACAAAAATTACTGTTTGAAAAGTCCTTGATTTGTATATAAATTTACACAGTACAGAGTATATTGTAACAGATTTCAGGCTCTGTAAACATTGTCCAACATGCAACAATAGAGGAGGCCGTGTTTTCCGTGTCCGCGGTGATGTCACGCAGTGGTGGGTGGTGGTCACGTGACATGGGTTTCTTGTGATGTGTCTGTCCCTTGGCTGTGTAAGTGACAGCATTCGTTTGGTTCAGGGTCAAGTTAGTTCTCAGTAGGAGATAGCTGCTGGATGGACATACATCACAGGAAACAAATGTACATGACCACCACCAACCACTGTGTGATGTCACCATGGACACAAAACACAGCCTTCTCTATTGTTGCATATTGGACCGTGTTTACAGAGCTGTTGTCTGGCCACATGTTGATTAAATCTGTTACATTATGATAAATCTGAAAAGAACTCTTATCAGTTTCCTTCAGTAATAATTTATATTTTGAAACATTCTGATATTATACTCCACTACAAAAATGAGATGTTTGCATAGAATGTGTGTAACTTATTATAAGAAGTTGACCATCCTTATGTTGTCTGAAAAGTCGCAATTCGAGTTGCTTAGCAGATACACACAAAACCACGAAGAGCACAGAACTTCACTATGTGAAGGTATATTTCAGAATGAGTTACAACAGATGACTAAACAGAACTACCTACACTGAGTATCTTCTAATGTATAAACTATTTACAATACAAAATACACATGTGGCATATCTGCCTAGCTGGAGACAATTTTGTTATCCACACATGAAAGAGATGATGATAAAAATTGCACTTAGGCCTAGCCTACAGACATCGGGATGTAGTGCCAGAACCATAATGGTATAATGGTTATTATTGTTACATATGCCTATACGTATAACAATAATTTAAATAATTATTAAGTACAATATAGTAAATAATACACTTCAGCTAAATTCAAATACCACCTTGTCTTTTTTAAATTTAATATACTGTATAATTACATGGACAATTTAAGCCTTACTATATAACCCATATAAATGCATTGTTTGTAGAACATGGGTATGTGAAACAGCAGATAGACAGCACAGTGGTAGGTCCCCTACATGAAAAACTGGGTCATATGTGGATGTAGACACGTTTAGAAGTAAGATTTTATAAAATATCTGCAAAACTGACAGTGTTCTTACAGGAGCTTTGCATATTTATGCTGAAATACTGGTAGGTAACTGTACTCCAGAAACGTCAAACTGGAATGTGATAGCCAGTCTCATCTCAGACTCAGAAGAGATACCGTATTTACGCATGTATAGGCCGCAGCACAATTTTCAGACAAATTATAGAAAAAATAATTTTCTTGGAATATTATTTCAGGAGTATTTACACTCTGTATTACTAATTATGAATATAATTTTTTAAAATGAAGTGTGATTTCGAATATAAGCCGCACCCCAGTTTTCCTCTTGAATTTTTGGCAAAAAATGTGCGGCCTATACGTGCGTAAATACGGTAATCTGACTTTATTTAGATTGAATAAGCGTGTAATGTAATTGGATGCATTATGGTGATCCCTTCTTGCCTTTCCACCCCTACGAAAACAAGTAAATACCATGCGTAATCAAAATGGGACAGAGTAACAACCCTTAAATTTGTCAGTATAAGAACAGGTGATATTAATTTATTTATATCAAGAAAATACATATCATCTATTTGGATGCATTGCGATAAACCCTCTGTCTCCATGGAAATAATGCTAAAGCACTGTGTGGGGTCAAAATGAAACGTGATTACACTCTTAAATTTATGTCAGAATCTGAAGAGAAGCATTTTATTTATTTAAAGTGGACAGGTGCATAAGGTATCCATCTGAAATGTATGAAAACTTTCTTTCCTTTTCTTATAGAAGAAAATGTTTTACATCCATACAGTACATGCTCCCTTATGTACTTGAAGCTGTCTCAGTGCTATGAATTGTATTACCCACAGTACGGGTTTTTGTGCATTGTTTGATTATGATGTAATAACAGCAGATAATCTTATGCCTTCAGCAATGTATGGTTTTATTTTCAACAAACATTTTCATGAATATTGTGGCATACTGCTCTGTGCAGGGTAAAGTTTCAATTGATGAGAAATGAAACATCTGCCAAAAATAAATTACAGCTAGATTCTGAAGGGTTCTGACAATGGTGGATGACACACAGACTTACTGGGGTTTTGGACTTCTTCCATTGTCCAGAATTTTAGGTACTAGAGGACATGATGTTTCGGAAACTGGATCTGTTTCCGCCTACAAGTGAGAAAGGAAGACACCTACTCAGTTGGGCCCCTTAGAAAGAGCTAATCTCAGTCACTGGACCATTGAGGTTGACTGATTGAGATTAGCTCTTTCTAAGGGGCCCAACTGAGTAGGTGTCTTACTTTCTCACCTGTAGGCAGAAACAGATCTGGTTTCCGAAATGTCGTGTCTCTATTACATAAAATTCCGGACGATTGAAAAAGTCCAAAACCCCAGTAATAAATTATAGCATTTTGTACCAGTTAAGATCCATCTCATGTATTCCACTTCTCTTATTGTACTGAGATAATTAAAATGGATGTGTAATGACAACTGTACAAATTACACGAAAGTGAAATGCAAAGAAATGCTGCAGGACTGTATTTGCCCAAATTGTGTGGTTAAATTTATTGTGCAGGTGTGGTACTCCTCTCATAACTCCACCAGGGCTGAGGACATTATGGTTGTTCAACTTACAGAGTGGTAACACTCATCTTATGCACAGCCATCTGTTACAAAAAGGTGGCCCAGAACCTGTCTGTAACCACTGACACCCTACCACGTTTTGTCATTATACAAATCCTGCAGGAATGCCCACCTTATTATGAAGAAAACCAAATATTCCATCTTTTTGACAAGTTGCACGGCATCCTAAGAGATGAGGACAGCAACATATCTTATGTGACATGGTTTAGCAGTTTTGTTTATCTGATTTCGTTTTTTGTCCACAAATTTGCGCTGTTTTATGTTTATTGGTGCTTTCAATATGTTCAGGCGTGTATACAGCCTGTTTTATTACGATGTTTTAACGCTGTATTCATTTTTGTTTTTGTTGAGTTGTTTACCAAGTGACAGACCATTTTAAAATCTGGTGCAGGTCAATTTTAAATTAATTTTATACTGTGTTAAACAGAGGGTTATCAGCTATGATCTACATACAGGTGAACATAGCTATGAATGCTGACATGCCTGTAAACTTTCACACACATGTGCACGTACAATAGTTGCAACATGGTATCCCATATTTTATAACATTCGTTTTAAATATGGTGGTGAGAAAATGATTATGTAAATGAACTAAATACCATATGGAAAAGGCAACAAAATGTATTTTGGAAGACAGTTCAGATCTTGCCAACAAAAAGATGGATCATTAAGGCATATTTCTTTTCATACTGCAGAGTTGCTGAAGTATCCATAATTTATTAGTGATTCAAATTTAAATGACAGCAGGATATTTTCAAAAAGAAAACATTGGCATTTCTTCTGCTCTCGATCATTTTAATCATCTGTCCATCCTCTGACTTTTGGTTTAGTTTACTTTTATCATTATGACAGTTAATTATTTTCATAAATACAGTAGAACCATAGTCCTCAAAGTTGAAGGACTACTTCATATCAAGAATACTGCAATTATTAAAATATGCAGGTGGTGTCTTGATAATAACTGTGATTAAAACTCAGACAATATCAAATGAGAATTTTCTGAAGTTATGGCTGAGTGATATGCTTTTACAGATCCTTGAAGTGTTTGTTGTGCCCATTGCTGGTGAAGAATTTCTTTCTTTCTTAAGGATCTGTAGTTTATATGTTTGGGAAAATATGGGATGATAAGAAAAAATACTAACATTTTGCTAAAGAAACTGGGATGTATTATTTGTATTAAAAATATATATATGTTGCACTTGACCATATGGAGATTTTAATTGTGGCTGTTAAATCAATAAACTTGGCCACCCATGATTTATCTCCATATGAAATGAGATGCGACTGGGAATTCTGTGGAATATTTTCATCTGTTGTTTCCATCTGCTTCAGGCTGATAGTCTCTTGGACCAAGTTGGAGAAGAATGTCAAGAGGACTCATAAGTAAGCAGCTTGTTTTTGTGTCACATTGCTGTATCTCTGCTTTCTGTTTTCAAAGTGTTTGTGTTTTTTTTCTGTAGGAATATATAACCAACACCTGTATATATCCTTCGGTCAAGGTGCAGGAGAATTAACTAAGATCCCAAGTAACCAGCATCATTATGTGTCACATGCTGTTTATTTTTGTTTTCAATATGTTTGTTTAAGTGTTTTCTCTTCTCTGCCATTTTCACTGAGCACATTTCAACTGCAAAAGCTATAACACAGACTCTTCACTGTGTGTCTGAACTTTTAAATGCATGATGTCACTACACAGAATATCACAAAGAACCTAGATGAGTTGCAGTATCTTTCCTATTTTGGCATTTAAAATAACACTGTTTAATTATGCTAACCGTCTTACTGTGCACACACTTTCACCTTCCTCTTCACTTTTGCACTACAAGTTTCAGCACTAATGTGCCATCTTCAGGTGTGTCTCTATGCACATCAAACTACTGCACTGCATGCCATGACGTCTTCATTCTAAAATGACTAAAATGTGTATTCGTCATGTATAACAATAAATTCTAAATGTTAAAACCTTTCAGGATTCGTCATCCATACGTTGTATCTCAAATACGCGAACCACGCCAATTCTCCTCTATGGGAGCACTCTTCCTACATTCATGTGTGTATTGTGCTCTGTGTTGTGCCTTGCTCCTGTGACTGCATGCAGTACAATGCACGCCAGTCCCCCTCTGTGGGAGCACTCTTCCTACATTCGTGTGTGTATTGTGCTCTGTGTTGTGTCTTGCTCCTGTGACTGCGTGCAGTGCAACACACGCCAATCCCCCTCTATGGGAGCACTCTTCCTACATTCGTGTGTGTATTGTGCTCTGTGTTGTGTCTTGCTCCTCTGACTGCGTGCAGTACAACGCATGCAGTCACAGGAGCAAGACACAACACAGAGCACAATACATACATGAATGTAGGAAGAGTGCTCCCATAGAAGAGGATTGGCATGATTCGGGTATTTGAGATACGACGTATGGATGACGAATCCTGAAAGGTTTTAACATTTATAATTTATTGTTATACATGACGAATACACATTTTAGTCATTTTAGAATGAAGACGTCATGGCATGCAGTGCAGTAGTTTGATGTGCATAGAGACACACCTGAAGATGGCACATTAGTGCTGAAACTTGTAGTGCAAAAGTGAAGAGGAAGGTGAAAGTGTGTGCACAGTAAGACAGTTAGCATGAATACACATCATGGACATGAATCAGTGCAACAGGACACTAAAATATAACACTGTTCAATTAACCAAGTGGAATTATGTGGAACTTTCTTGCCATATAGAAGTCTATGAAAATTTACAATCCCATCAATGCATGAACTGTCTTCATTGGCACAATTCAGTTTTGATAAAATGTGCCATCATAACTTTAATCAAGTTCATTAAACTTCAGTTAAGATAATATAAGGTTGTTTTTGAATGCATTTCACCATAGGAAAAACTGCAGTGGTATTTCTTATACAAATTATAAACACATTTGATTATACATAAACCTAGTTAAATATCCTTCAATACTGTATATACAGGGAGGAGTTTTACTTTCTTGACTGGTTCCACAGCTCTACACTTCAAGGCAGCTGCCAGTGCACCGGATTTCGTGAAGTGCAGAGCCATGAACCGGTCACCAGAGTTAAAAACAACCTCTCTGTAGTGTTGTTATACATTTTTACTGTACTAGTCTGCTAACACTTAACAGTAATGCATTATGTGTATTGTGGGATATTAGACACTTCTTGTGTCTAGAATATTTAAGTCTCAGCTTCAACTGGCTCTTAGTTCTGCTGCTATCTGTTCTCTGATCAACAAAACCAGCTATTTGCAGCATGAGGGACTCCAATATGTGGCTTATTACTGCCTGTGTGGCAACCAGCAGATAAGCTTGAGTCAGTAGCCTCTTCAAGGATAGTTCCTATGTCTAGCTTGTGAAACTTTCATGCAATATTTTAAATCCCCCATTACATTATGTATTTAGCAGGTACTTTGATAGTAATAGGGGCACGTGGTAGCGTAGTGGTTAAGGCACTATGCTACAAGTCAGAAGGTCGCGGGTTCAAATACTGATGAGGTCATTGGATTTTTTTCAATTGACCTAATCCTTCCGGCCGCACTGGGGTTCACTCAGCCTCTAACAGAAATGAGTACCAGGAATTAAATACATAATTTTCCTGGGGAGTAAAGCACAGCCGGCGAGTAAGGCTGACAACCTTACCGCCATCTTTGAGCCGATTGTCTAGATAGTGTGACACCCTTAACGTCTCACAACCCTATGGGCCTTCATGGCCTGTTACAGGGATAGCTTTACTTTTACTTCCTTACTTTTACTTTGATAGTAATATAATTAATTGGTAGAAATTCTGACTAGAAGTAACATTTCACTGCAGGGAAAAGAAAAGAATGTTATTTGTTGAAAATTTTATATAATTCATCGATATATTCTATACAGTGAATAGCATACTGTGTTTTGTGGACAGTCCTTTCTCTTAGCCATTTTGAAAGCAGTTATCGTACTTATAAATAATTGCTGGTTGCTAGATACAACACTGTTACATCTTCCTATAATTTGGTTCTGATTTCTTTATAGGATTTTCGGCATTAAGAATTTTTATTTGTTAAATATAACTTAAGGTGAATATGGCAACACAGTACAAGTGAATTGATTTCAGGAATTTCATTCTAATATATAACAGTGCATTAATAATCACAAATAATAGTGAGAACTATGTTTAATGTGAGGGGCAATTTGTTAAGTCCAGAACCCAGTTTAGACCACATACCAAACAATATGAATACTGAGTAAAATTTTATGTGAAGTTTCAACAAAAGAATATTAATATTAAACAAAAGAATATAATAAATATTTTTGTGATCCGTATTAATTTTATGAAAGGAAGAAAGTGGATAAGGATTTTACTGCCAGTATCTCTATACACTTTCTGACTTTTGTAAATATTGATATTTATAGTTTTTCACTTGTAATATTATATTTAAGCACCCTGCTGAATTAGTTGATCACTTGATACACATACAAAATACTATCTCCAGTGCAGCATCACTGATTGCTGGTAGAGTCCCCATTTAGCCCATGGCCACATAGGGCCATCATCAGGTATGCATGATGATCTGCATGGATTGTTACACTGTACTGTAGTATTTTACAGCCCATGAGGGCTGTACATCTAAAAGTTTATTATTTAAACCAAAGTGATTCATGTTAAAATGTAATATATAAAATTATTGACATTTTTTTAAACATTTTTAAAAGTCATTCTGTATGTTACATTTTAACAGGCACAAATTTGGTTAAAATCATGAACTTTGTGGACATACAGCCCATACAGGCTATGTAATATTACAATACAGTGTAAAGCTTGTGTGGCTGAAATATGTTGTCCAATTTACAGGAAAAAATAGACTGTGGACATTCTACCAATCTGTAAAGCTGCATTGAAGACTACTGTGTGTGTGTGTATTCATGTGTGTGTGCGCTTGTAAATTTGCCCATGGGGAACAGTGGAAAGACCAACAGGAATCTTGTCGCAAACCACTGGTCTTTCGCCATTTTAGTATTTTTATTTCTGCTCACTGACTTGGTATGATTGTAAATGACCCACTGTGGGGAAATACTCGACAGCAGTATTCCATCATGTCTGAGGTACAACTTTATAAATATCTGTGGGATATATCTGATAGTGAGTCATCAGTAGTTTTATATAACATGTGGTCACTACTCAAACATTTAACAGGAAACACTGATAACAGAAATGATAAAAGATAACCAAGAATATAATGTGATAAATCATGATGTGGGACAGAAAGTAACTAGAGTGAATGATAAGTAAAAATCTATCATGTAGAGCTGCCTTTTCACATTTTCAGTAATGAAAATATGCACCAGCATTAGAGTCCAATGGAGTAGAGATTCTAATTTGTACATAATTTCACAGAATTAAAATAGTTAACTGACAAGCTGATAATTTTATAGTGCTGTGGGTTTAAAGTTCAGTGTTGCTTGCATGTGAGAATAATAAATTTGAAACTACTTCATATTTATTAAAAAGATTATTTCTCAGTAGTTTTTAATTCATGGTAAATAAACTGTTTAGAAAATTTATATTTCATTAACTGCTATCACTGTTTGGAATACTTATATGCAAGAGCTACAGAATGCCATCAGCACAGGCTGAGCCATGATGTTGATTTACAGATGCGATGCAAAACATTACAAGTGTGTAACAAACAGCAATTCATGGAACAGTTATGAACAATTTTGATAATGTGTTGGATTTGTAAATATTTTGCTTTAACTGTGTACAGCTGTTACACTACAAAATCAATGAACTAGGCCAAAGTAAATTAGGTCTTTGAGGTAATACTTACTTTGTCTTCTCCCTTGTTACATTTTGCATTATTTTAACTGCATGTGGATTTCTGTAATATTTTGGTGGATAGGTAATGACAGATTTTGACCATGGCAGTAGCAAATCTAATATCATGTGCTCAAATGTGATTTTCCCACGATCTCAGATTCAAACTATGAACAGCTATAAATATGCTGTCAGACTTGGTACAGCTATAAATGGGCTTCAAGTGGATAATTTACTCCTGAGAAAATACAAAAAATATACAGTAATTATTTAGAAATGTTACTTTTTATAAGAAGAAAAGGAAAATGCCACAAAACAAGTACAGAAAATCAATAATCATGATATTCACAGTGCTGGAAGACAGTACAAACAGTTAATATATGGGGTGTCGTATCTTTGTTTCAGAATGTGGAGCCCTGAACACATATCAAGATAGAAGCATAATCAAGTCATCCTAAAATAACTGCTGCTATGAATAGTTTCTGTGACAGAAGTTTACAAAACTTGTTACTCTCTGTGTATGTAGTACTGTCAATAAGTCCGAACTCCACATTATAATTAATTTTTTGAGGCAGAATGAAACTTAGAAAGTAGTTTGATTCTTCACTGGAAGCATCAGCAATAGTTAAATTATCAATCCATTGAACTTTTCTGCCAAATCAGTTGGAATGTTTGAAGATACATTCCTTAAGTGTGATTAAGTAACATTCGAGGTATATAGTCTTCATAAGTGTTAGTTACTGAATTATATATAGTAATAATGACACTTCAGATTTTCGTTTTCATAATTGTGAATGTTAATAGCATAGTGTTTGAGCTTTGGAATTAGAAAAGTAATTATAACAGTGTTCCTGAAATCTAACTGAAACAAAGACGTTCTCTTTCACCTTTTCCATGATATGAAACACAATAAATTGTCATGAAAACAGATGTTTCCATCCTGCTTGATTTTGATGTGTGATGTTAATTATAAGGGACCTATCCTGCTGTCTCATGTCTGTTCAAGCCATAAGTTTATTGTACTTCTTTTGGCTTATTTTGGACTTCACCCATCGTCCGGTATATAAAAAAGACAAAAAACCACAACGTTTCGGAGACTGGATCTGTCTCCGTCTTCAGGTGTATAAGGAAGGTTTAACCTACTCAGTTGGGCCCCTTAGAAAGAGCTAGTCTCAATCACTGGACAAAGATATCAGAATCCTGCCAGCAAACAAGGGCAACTGCACTGTAGTGCTGGACGAAACAAAATACAGGGACAAGATTAACACCCTGCTGAGTCTGGAGTTTATGAGCCCCTGGCAAAAGATCCGACAGCCAGTGTTGAGAGAAGAGTTCAGCAAATCCTTGCCCAATACAAAACTGTCCTTCCAGCCGAGGTAAAGCGAAAGCTTACCCCATACCACAGCAAGCCCCCACACCTATATGGTCTCCCCAAGATCCACAAATCGGTCCAGTGATTGAGACTAGCTCTTTCTAAGGGGCCCAACTGAGTAGGTTAAACCTTCCTTATACACCTGAAGACGGAGACAGATTCAGTCTCCGAAACGTTGTGGTTTTTTGTCTTTTTTATATACCGGACGATGGGTGAAGTCCAAAATAAGCCAAAAGAAGTACAGTATACACCATCGTCAGAATCCTTTCAAGTCAACATAAATTTATTGCCAGAATAATGGAAATTTAAATTGCCACATGCAGATGCACAAATGAAACAATTTAAGAAAATACTGAATACAGACAATTTTAGAGTTAACAGATGTAGAATAAAATAGGCAATCTCTGACAGAAGTATTTTGTTTTGATTTAGTATTAATGTTATAGTTCTAAATGCTGAAGTAACCCATACACAGATACAGAGGCTTTACTCCGTTTCGGATACAGTTACCCACCATGGTATAACAAATTACATACAGTTGGACCCCCCATTTAATGGTCCTCAATATAAAGTTTTCTCCCATTAAATGTTCAATCTCTATGATCCAAAGTTGGTAATCGCTGTGTTAAATTTCCTCCATTTAAGATTTTTTCAGTTTGGTGTTCAAGTATCGGGACACGTAGTAACATGATTGAGGCACTATGCTACAAGCTGGAAGGTTGTAGGTTCGATTTGTGATGATGTCAATGGATTTTTCAATTGATCTATACCTTCCAGCCACACTATGGCCCTGGGGTTGACTCAACCTTTACCAGAAATGAGTACAAGGAATCTTCCTGGGGGTAAAGGGCGGCTGGCCCGTAAGGCCAACAACCTCATAGACATCTGTGAGATGATTGTCTAGAAAATGTGGGAGCCTCAATGTCTCACAACCCTCATTTCTCTCCAAAGAAATCTTACAGTGGGCAGTTCACTGTTGTTTGTATCAAAAAGTGTCTGCAGGAGACCCAGTGTGCCCATTCTGCTGCCTCATCACATTGCAACTGATACTGTTCTCTTTAATGCACATATCACTTCCTTTCATCCCTTCACTCATTCTTTCATTCATGCCTAATGGTTTTCATTTTACACAGTCTTAGCTGTAAGCTCAGTGGCTTTCAAAATTAGGCCTATATAATGCTGTAGAATTGTATTATGGAAGCCTGTTGTCTAGTATGAAGAGTTTAAGTATACATGTTTATATTAGCTGTTAAAATGTATTGACTGTTGTTATTAAAAGTAACATTTGGTGGTATACATGCATGTTAATACAGGGCCTATTATTAGCAAAATAAATGAAATGGAGACCAAAATGAATGCTAACTGCTAGAGGGTCTAAGGGTCTGCAGTGTTAATTTTGATAATACAAAAAGGAAAACTTCTATATCAGTTTTTTTACAACACCCCTTATAATGTTTGCACTATTATTCTAGAACAGACCAGTAGCAGTAGACACAGGAACAGTGCCAAATTTGTTAAAAAGCTGTTGGCATGGGTAAGGTATGAGATTACACTGTATGAGGTAACTCACAAAGGTTTTAAATTGACTAAAATAAATTATGTGGAGTAGAAAGTGTTACATAAAATATGAAAGAACATACTTGTTCCTGAAAGAAGTATCACCCCATAAGCTCTGCTTCTTGCAACTGGTCATTACACTGAAATTATAAAACAGGCATAGCAATGAAAATGTATGAATATTCAACAATTGAAGAAGTTAAAATGGGGAGGAATATGAGAATATGTTGGAAAATACCTGCTGGAAATTAACACTCATGTTTAGAAGTATTCAGCTATGAATTATTCTGTTGTACTTGTAAATGCTGCTACTTTACTGTTCCATATAAAAATAGGTCCACTACCCAATATTATGTCATATGTTGATCATAGCACTATTATTAATTATATACTCTCATAAGTTTCCAAAGTGAGTTTAAGAGATATATATATTATGTATATGTGAAATTCCATAAATTAATTTAATATTTCAGGAAGGGATTTAATTTGTAATTCAGTTCATTGACGTGCAAAAAAAAAAACACAGGAAATCTGACAGAATAATTTTCTTCCTTCAGAATTTCTGATTTTTTTGTGGAATGCCAATTTGAGTAGGATAAAAAATCGATTAACATATTTCTGCTTTATATGTTCTGCATTTTGCTCTGCAAAATCTTCTCTGAATGTGACCAACAAATTAAACACGTATTAACAACTTCTGATGTTGGGACTTTGCAAACTTAATTCTTCCCTAAGTGTAATGGTAATTTTTTCATATTAAACTTTTTCCAGAATTAAAAACCCACCTTGCCATGAAAGCACAAATGAAAATGGATATTTTATGAACATATGCATGTTGTTATGTATATATTCTGGCCATGCTTTGTATTTCTGTATATTTCATTTACATGAGTATAAAGTTTAATCACCTTATTACAAAAAATTATGGTGTGAACTTTTTTATTATTGTTGTTAATGTCTTTGCAAATGGTGACTACAACATATTTATATGAGTACTGACATACCATATGAACAGTGGCAGTTAAACCTTCATGATTGCATATGTGGATGAAGCAGACAGCTGAGGGGAGGAGAGGGATACAAAAAAGTCTCCTGCTGGATGACCCTGTATCCTTACATTAAATAATTTTGAAAACTCAGATTTTGTCTTCACCCTTGCATTCCTTCATGCATGAAATACAGTCAACTCTCGATTATCCGGGGGCGGATTAACCGGTTTGCGGCTTAACCGGGCCTACTGAGGCTTTTTTGAGGCTTATATGTTGTTTAATATTCATTCACTTTTGTTTCACATGGTGACTTGTAACACAATTTTCGCACTAGTGTGAACCGAGCTCTGCATTCTTTGGTCCCGTTATGCTAACACAGTGTTCTAGGGTAGGGGTGAAAGAATGCAAGGATCTGTGGAAAGTTTCAAGGACAGATACATCGCCCCAGTTAGTTTCTTTATCGATCTTCAAGTGCGTTAGCAAAATGTCAGGGTGTAAAAGGAAGCATGTTGTGTTAAGTATTCAACAGAAAAAGGAAAATGCCGTGAAAAAGTAAACGACAGTATTAAATTTTTTTAAGTGTTAAGTGTGAATATTTGTAAAAAGTGTTGGATGTTGTTGAAGACTGTGACTGAAATAACTAATTCATACTTCAGTGTAATGTAAAAAAAGTATTAAATAGGCCATGAGATGACATAAAAATGAGGTTGAATAAATTTAAATACAGGTAGGCCTATAGTATTATGAAGGTACAGTATTACAGTACTACTTTTAATAAAATTTGTCTTAACCGGGTTTTCGATTAATCGTGATTTCCATCCCCACCATTATCCTGGATAATCGAGAGTTGTCTGTATATGCAGACTAGTAGCCTTATGTTATGTAGATAGGGATGACATTGAATAGAAACCCTATTTATTCTAATGCCAGTTATTACATTCCTTACATATCAAGCATGAATTTATGTGCCTTAAACACCGTAAAAGAAATGTCTGAGTAAATTACCTTCTCATTTCTGTGCACAGTTGCAAGTAGAGACATGACCAATAAGGAATGTGACTGTGTTGGAGAAGTTTGGAGTGATCATGAAACATTTTTGAGTTTTCAATGAATATGGGCACACAAGATCTGAATGTGATTTCATTTGCATGATGTGACTTTCCAGATAAAACTCATAAATCTGTGAATGTGTGGGGTTGGTATTGAAGGATTAAGTCTAAAGTAATGATTCATTGTTTGTGGGACTAGTTTAGCTTGTGTTAAAGCCATTGGGAATCAAAATACACTTAATATAAGATGGCTGACTACTCTTCCTGGTTTTCAAGACTAGCTGAGGAACCTGAGAAGCTAGCAGCACAAGAGTCACTGAAAGACAGTTGCCCTCCTGTTCGATCATCGCTATCCTCACTGCTAGGGGTTGTCATTTCTGGTTCCGACTGCACTGGTTGTTTCTTGGGAGGCTGATGCTGTTGGGGCTGTGATTTGGAGGGTTGTGGTTGCTGAGGGGCTGCTGGCAGTTTCTGGGATGAGCCAAGTGTATCGCAGGAAGAGGCACCGCTGACTGATGTAGTGGAGATGTCTTCTAGGAAGTCAAAGCTTGCAACAGCCTCTCGCTCCTTGTCACCGTAGCGCACAAAGAAGTCATCCCGCCCAATGATGGATGGGCGAGGAGTTGATGTGGGGTACCGCAGCACCCCCAACTGCTCTCGAGTAGCCGATGCTAGAAAGTGAAAGCTAAGATGGATCTGGCTTTATTTCCAAAATGAAAATGTTTCTATGTCATGGATATTCTGTTTACATTTAAATATTATAAATCCTTGTGCAGCAACAAAATTCTCACCAGTTTAACATGCAGACTTCTAGTACAACACACAGCGTTGCCATTTGGCGGTAACATGTGGGTAAACATCTCTGTACATCATAGAATGTTTCAAATGAGACTTATAGATCATAAAGGCATCTTTATTTTTTGTTGTTTTATGTTGTCCATATTTATAAAATATATATGTGACTCAGGAAGCTCACCTATGCAAATGCTGAATATGTGAACTGCTGTTTCATATGTGGGAAACTGTTCAATGCATCAGGTGATAACTATATGGTGCCATGGCAGTAAATAGTAAGAGCCAGTGTATTTACATTTGCCTATAAGGCTTACCCGTGCAAATGCTAAATGTTCACAGCTATTTATTTGCTATGTAACTATTACATATATTATGCTGTTATGGTTCCATGTTAGAAAATAACTGGAAATATATGCAGTGTCATATCCATTCACTGATGAAACCTTCACTTGATGTACAAAAATGATCCAGTTCATACATCTGTTCAGAGCTTGAATGAATGTATAAGGGATGGACCTTCTTGGTCCTTGCACTGCAACCACAGTGATCTATCGTGCCTCCTGTTCAGAGCTTACAGTATGAAGAGGTCAGAAAATTGGCCTCCACATGTGGTAAAATGTTATGGTCACAATGTGTATGCATAGTACTTTGGTCCTGCCTTCATGTATGTGCCTTTCTATTGGTTTCCTTTGGTAGGTTATATAACAACATAGTTTCAAGACTGTATAGCATCATATGGTTGGCAGACAGCCATGGTCATGGCCTAAACAAGGTACTAACCTGTGTTTGCCTTGAGGGACTGAGAAATGTCTTGGAAAAACTTGTCATTATCAGGTAACCTGGCCAAGATTCAAACTGAGCATCTTTCAGATGCAAGTCTGGAGGTTTAAGCTGTAGACCAAGGTGTCTGGTTTTCTGTTTGTTTTTGAAAGCTGAATGGTGTAACTGAACTTACTAAATCTGTACACAACATCATTACTATAGGGAACTTTCCACTTAATTATCGGTGAGCATTACACTATCTTTATGCAGTCATATGAGCCACTTTATGAAGTCTCATCTGAGTTTCATGTTAAATTAAAAATAATCTTCATATTTGACAAATATGAAACAAAGTTATAAAATTTTAGACCAATCAATACAAAATTTAACCAAAGTCTGATACTTGCAATGATGACAGATGGTCATGGTTTCCTCATCATATGCATTTTGCGCATGTTGTGCAAGGGAAATGCATAGTAAAATATTAAGATATTTTCACTCTACATGAGACAAAACAATTTATTAACTAATTAGTATAATTTTATAATTAAAATAACAGCAAATACAGAAGCAACATATTTAGGGCTAAATGACCATCATCAGGCTAATAAATGTTATGTATGTAAATTGATATAATTTGAACATTAATCCACAGATGTACTTCATGGCTGTCGTGTGTTTGCATGTCAGTAGATGTTCTTATATTGTGACAAGTTACTTGTAGCTTCGTTGTTTTTTATTAAACAAGAGATGCTGTATACTCATCAGTATGTTTTGTGATTGATTTGTGGCCTATATTCTGAAATATTTTAATTAATTTTATATAGGTATATTGAGCAGACAAAATCAAGTAAGTACTACTATAGTGGCCTCCGTAGTCTAGGGGTAACGTTCCCACCTCATGACTCAACGAACGCGGGTTCAAACCTGGCGGAGGTCGTGGAATTTTTAAGGGCGGAAAAATTCAGGGAACAAGTCCTCTGGGAGGGACTTTAAGCCGTGGGTCCCGTGTCGTAGATTTACGGCACGTAAAAGATCCTCATGTCTCTAGGAGACCTCTGAGCAAAATTAGGCATGAATTTCCTGCCCAAGTAGTTTCCAATGCTTCTGGTAGATGGGGGAAATATCAGGTACCGAGGGTGGACCTCGTTGGCTGAACAGGGCTGATAGCACACACCAGTACCGGGAGGGTATGGCGACAGTAGAAATTACAGGGCGACACAGAATGGACCAATAACTGGTCTAAGTGCATGGGGAAACCCACCCCCTCTAATAATGAATGAATGAATGAATGAAGTACTACTATGCAAAGGAGCTCACGAGAAATAACATTAAATCACTTTTAATAGGAAATAACAATTAACACGGCAAAGATATCTAAACAGTCGCCTTTGATTAAGAGATATTAATACTCCCAAACCTATCAGTGAGAGAGACATTCAGTGTCGTGAACCACAGTTCAAGTTCGGCTGTAGCTGGTAATACCACATGCTGCTAGAATGCATCAGAGACTGCTATTTTTTGATACATGATTTGACCTGAATAGAGTGAATTCATAACTTATTACTCATAATTCAGTAATTTATTTCATTACGGTATTTGTGCGAACACTAACATACAGTGACAGTAACTAGTGAACTCATTTTTAAAGAACTGAGTCTCCATTATGTCAACTCTTTCAAAAGCATACACAGTTTCTTTCTAACATATGTTGAAGCACATTTCCAGTCATGTTTAATATTCAAGTCCAAAAATACTAGCATCTTCTGGCATCAAATCTGAACATACACTATATTCACCATGGCCACCATATTCCCCTGTTCTTTTCCTTTATAGATGAATTTGAATATAACAAAAGATCTGTTAATATACATTATGGGGCATCAAGTCTTAACTGATTTAAAAAGGACACTGAGCTGGACTTGGCAACATGTTAAATGTTCAGATACAAAACCTTGGAAGATTCTGATCAGTCAAGATCTGCATATAATGGATATTATACAAATTATTGTTGTTAAACTGATCCCCTGAAACTGTTAATTTTATGAAATGGCACAGCATATGTTAAAATATAATAGCATTATCTTTGATGCCATGTAATTACTTCCATCCAGAATTGCATGTAGGAGGAAAGAGTGAATGTGGTGTGGTAACAACTTTCATGTATATATTTTATTAATTAATAAAATTAAAACAAACACCTATAAAAGTTTAACACCATTATCATAGTCAATACAACACAATACTGCTTTGAAAAAAGAACTCGTCTTCAAAGTAAACTAGAACACAAACTGCATTTATATGTTACTCAAAAAAATTAAAATTTCTGTTATCAAAACAAACAGAAAATATTATTTCAGTGACCATAATTTGCACACAAAATGATACAATACTTTCATGCTTCAGCAACTTCAAGGCTGCATTGCTGTTAGAGTCTGGAATACTACTGGAGTGGACAGTTCAGTCACTAGCAAAGAGGAGGCAGTTTTACCTTTCTTCTGACGGCGAAACCTATGCAGTCTGTGGAGGTGCTGGTAGTCTGCAGGCTCATCACCGCTGTCACTACTGCTGCTGCTGCTGCTGCTGTTACTGCTTGCCCCTGAGCTGCCACTGGATGCTAGCATTACATCCAGTAGATTCGCTCGTGCCTGTGGACAGCACATGAGCGAGAGTAACCAAACAAATCCATTTGACAATATGAAAATCAAGCAAAGTGGAATTTTAAAATTAACTTATGGAAGAATTAATACATAGGTAAGTCAATAAGTAAGTTACAAATGGATATACTAGCAGAACTTAAACAAATAAGAGTACTGATTTGAAAAATGCTTTTATTTCTCAACATACCGTATTTACGCATGTATAGGCCGCACATTTTTTGCCAAAAATTCAAGAGGAAAACTGGGGTGCGGCTTATATTCGAACTATTCAAAATCACACGTCATTTAAAAAAAATTATATTCATAATTAGTAATACAGGGTGTTCTACTCCTGAAATAATATTCCAAGAAAATTATTTTTTCTATAATTTCTGTCTGAAAATTGTGCTGCGGCCTATATATGCATAAATACAGTAATCTCCCTGTACATTGAGGCACTTGTCCCATTGTTTCACAAGCCCCTGAAAACCAGCAGCATAAAATTCTTTGGCTGTGACTTCCATTTATACAGCTTTCTACAGCATAATTTTCCTGGAGGATGGTGTCACCTTAAACTTTTTTTGGCAGGAGACTCACGATGTTTCCACTGCATTGACGCACGCTTTGTCTCGGGCGGGTAATGGTGAACCCAAGACTCATCACCTGCGACAATTCGGGCTAGCATATCGTGTCCTTCATCATGGTAGCGATTGAGATGCTGTAATGCCAGACCCCTTCTTTGAATTTTGTGTTTTGGAGTCAGCATGCGCAGCACCCATCGTGCACAGACTTTGTGAAAAACCTAACCTGTCATGCATTATGAGGTAGGCCATGCCGTGTGAACACGCCTGGTTCTGACAGCAGTCCAAAGAATTTTATGCTGCTGGTTTTCAGGGGCTTGTGAAACGATAGGCAAGTGCCTCAATGTACAGGGAGATTATGTTGAGAAATAAAAGCATTTTTCAAATCAGTACTCTTATTTGTTTAAGTTCTATATCCATTTGTAACTTACTTATTGACTTACCCTTTTAAATGAAATCTCTGTGAAGGACTAGTGTATTCTGAATATATCAGTATCCGGGAATAAATATGGGGAAAATACAAAAACAAACTGTAAAACATGTCCTAAACATGGAAAATGACTTAAACTGGAGATAACATGTAGACGAAGTTCAGAAAGATGGGGTCCATAGCATTATATATATATATATATATTGTAACGTGTTTACGTTACAGAAGACGCCGTAGAGATGGTTAATTGGTTTAT